TACGTCCAGATGAACAGAATCAACTTTTGGAGATTTATTTTCCTGGATGATTGAGATGCATCAAGACGTTATGTGAAAGTGTTTTCCTTCTGTGGCGATAGAACGCGTTCCCAGTGTCGGGGCAGCTGTACACCACCCACCTCCTGTCCCTGGAGGCGCTGCTCACAGTGATCGACAGCATCGAGGCTCACTGCCAGGCCAGGAGCAGCATAGCTCAGCAAGACCAAGCGGCGACTGCGCTGGCAGACGGAGAGGGAGCAGCCAAAGCTGAAACAGACTCTGCAGCTGGTATAAGCACAGATACCTTCATAGCTCATAGATGCTCTGCAGTCTGGTGTCATTTACTGTCTTTGTCACCTTTGTCATGTGATGGACATGGACGGCTTCAGTAAAACATTTCTGTTTTCAGATGTTAGTAGACTTGGCAGTGCCAATGGTTTGAGTCCCGCGCAGCCTGAAAAAGCACCGGTGTATCCTCCAACCAGTGGACACCTAATGGCCGAGAAGATGAGGCTGGGCCGACAGGATCAGGGCGACGGCGACCTTTGTGAGGCCTCTGTCTGTAAAGTTTGTCTAAGCGCTGCGTGCAAACTGAGACTAACAGAAACTCTTTTCTCCAGCTGAGAAGAGGAGTGTGAAAAAGCCTCAGCGTTTCCTGTCCTGTTTGCCTGACTCACACGAGTTAATGGAAATCAGAACAAAGAAAAAGGTATGTGGAGTTCATTCAATGAGAGCAACGTAAAGAACAACATCTCAGCGTTTCCTGCTGTGTGTCCAGCTGCTGATCACAGGCACGGAGCAGTTCAACCAGAAGCCCAAGAAAGGCATCCAGTTCCTCCAGGAGAAAGGCCTCCTCAGCAGCCCCATAGACAACAACCAGGTGGCCCAGTGGCTCAGAGAGAACCCCCGACTGGACAAGAAGATGATCGGCGAGTACGTCAGCGATCGGAAGAACCCGGAGCTGCTGGACAGCTTTGTGAAGTAGGCTCAGCACGCTTTCATCTTACCGTTTGCTCCACAGCCGTGTGTGTTCAGGAACAATAACCAGTGTGAGCAAACAATAATCTGCTTTCTTTTCCAGCACGTTTACCTTCCAGGGGCTTCGTATTGACGAGGCCCTGCGGCTCTACCTGGAGGCCTTCAGATTACCTGGAGAGGCTCCTGTCATTCAGAGACTCCTGGAAACGTTCACAGACAACTGGCATGTAAGGGACACGTCCTACAATCCATTATTACTGCAGGACGTCAGGCCACACTAGGCTACGCTGAGTCAGAAGTAATTTCAGTCTTAGTTTGAATCCTAAAGCTGAAAGAAGTGTGGACATGGAGCGTGATCAGAGAGGAGACAGAGCTGAGATCAGCTGACTGCTGCAGCAGCACAACAGTCATGATGTGATGATCCCACTGAGCTTTAGACTCCTATCAACCTCACATGAGGGCCAATTCAGGGGTTTGTGGATTGGGTGGTGATCTGAAGGTCAGCGCTTGTGTGGAGGAGGAGCCTGAGCCTGGTGTACTGGTTTCCCCCAGTTTGGCGCCTGTATACTGGGACTTTTCCCAGTGGACGAGGGGGCTGCTTTCCTCCAGGTCAGGGAAGCAGGTACTGAGTGTCATTTGCACCGATGCACCACTTCAAATAAAAAAGCTTTAACAATGAGGCTGTAGACGTCATGTCACCTGGTGGTCAGCTGGGCCTCACCCCTGGTGGGCGGGGTTCGCCCTGAGTCTCTCTGGATCTTGTGGGGCTGT